ACAAGGTTCTCTGATACATCAGTATCACCTTGAGGGGACCGTTAATTGGACCAGAGAGTGTCCGTCATTCGTACGTTAGATAGTTTAACCTAGAGATTCGCACACATCTTGTAAAATCCCCATGTTTTGTCATCGTACTCGTTTTCGTCCCAAATCTCTCGTACCTCGCTACTCAATTTAACAAAACAAATCCCTTTGCCTCCAAATCACTTCGAAATTGATTATAGAATAGGAGGCTCGATTGCAACATAGAAAAGGAAAAAAGAAAAACGAAAAGCACCGAACCGATTGGAACTTGCAAACGGTCTTCGTAGCCTAAGTACTAGAGTCTACCTAGAACTTGCTGAAGTTTTTATCAATTCAACGGCATTTCACTGTTTTACAATGGGGAAGTCTACATCATTGAAGGTTGTCTCAACGACTGCCAACAAGGCGGGCGGGTCCACACCCAAATCGGTTTCTATCGCCAAAAAGAGCGGAAAGAAAAGATTGGAAAATGCATCTGCAGTTGATTTACGTCAACCTAAGGATAGGGATCCTAGTGTCCACAATGAGTCGGAGATTCAAGAGCTGATCGCATCTCTTCCACCACTGATCGACTTTGGGTTATCGACTCACGACTTGATTGCTATCGGCTACGACTATAATTCAACTAAGATTTTGTTTGGCAACTCCATTTTCAATCAATGGATGGAAAATCATAACGATCGGTGGACCCAAGCGCTCCCAAGGTTTGACAGCCAGTTTAAGGACCTCTACGCTAATTATTCAGTTGAAGTCAGGGTTAACATGCTATTCGCTCAATATGCGAACGATTGGCGGCAAGTGTTGAAATTCCTAATTTCGCTTTTTGACGATGACGCTTTGGGAAAGGTGGAAAAAATACAGAATACACATGGGGAGTGAGAGCAATTGCATTGCAAGTCGCCCAGCAGATTCCGTTTTCCTTTTTTGATGTTGGCCTTGTGAACGATTCCAAAGTGCCACAAGAAGATCTTTATTTTTTGAGGGACGATCGGTCAAATCCCGCCCTACAAAATGCGACTCCTCTGGTGCAATTTTGGCTGATGTGCGCTTCCATATTCGATCACCCATGGACGATGCTTTTTGACGAATTTCTCGAGGAATCCCCAATCCCTTGCATTCAAGAAATAAAATTGAAGGTGATTGAGGGATTTCCCAATGACGAAACTAGTAAGGTGGACATCCACAAGGGGGTCAAAAAGATATTTGATCCAGATTACAAAGATTCTGAGGAGGAAGACGACCCGATGGGCGACGAGGATACTGGCCTTGTCAATAAGTTTTGCCAACCCGATGGGTGGGACTCTGACGAGACAGTTGATGACAACTCCAACAACAGAAGGCACGACATGGACATAGACGGCGAATTTGATTCTGGCGACGATCGCATCCACGACGACGATGATGACAAGGACGAGGTGGAGGAGGACGACGAGGATACTGACGAATCGACCAAGGATTCTGTCATTCTCGTGGAAAATTCTTACAAAACTACAGATACTGAAAACGAAGAAGACACCAACTACATGGGCCTGAATACGGATGAGGCAGTTTCCGAACTGACCGGTGTTACTGGTGAAGACAAGGATCCTGAATTGGCATCCCCGCCGAGGAAGAAGGGACGGTCTTACAGGGTTTCGGTGGTCGCTCCGTCTACAGAAATGGATGTGGACGGGAGCTCCTTGAGTGAACCCGGGGCTAAACGTACACATTCAACGTCTGCTTCACAATCAACCACACCAACCGCACAAAAAACGGACACCACTTCGACGAAGCAAAGCTCTAAGGCCAAACGCAGACTACAACGCAGCCTGACATTGGAAGAACGCCTAGATGGGCTGCGACAAGTCAACTTGGACGGCATGGTCGGTCAGGCTATCCTGGTTGAACTGGGAATGGCTTACAGCTATCAAGGTCAACAAGGGGGGAATACGACCCATGCCTCTATTATCTTGAACCATATTCTGGATACGCTGGCAGACGTCCTAAAGAACGCGGAGGAGACGATTCGCTTTCTTCCCTTGTCTGACAGCGCTTACAAGAAGTCTAAGCAGTGGATCCGAACGGAAGCGGATCTTCGGCGGTTGATTCCCAATTACCGGAGCCTGTCCAAGTATCTGGACGTGTCTTTTGGCAACATGTCATATGCCTCGACTTCTAATAAGCCAGGCGAAAAGAAGCTTCGTACAAGGATGAGAGTGGGTTTTGAGGTCGAGGTGGCGGCAGGAACGATTCGCCAATACCTACACGGCGAATTGCGTCCGCAGTGGTTTGGAGCGGGATGCTATGAATCGGTTCTACAGTTTGGCGATATCAAAAAGATTGGGGCGTTGTGCTTCTATCCACAGGAAATTAACATCAGGGCTATGGAGAAAGAACTCATGCGACACTTTGACTGGAAGACGGTTATCGGCTTGCGGTACGAATGGGTAAACATTCCCTACAACGGCCGCAGTAAGTGGAATGAACAATCGCCTGGATGCATGATGTGGCACGTTTATGTCAGATCGAGGGACGCTAAGCGAGCGGATCGAGAACTACGCTTATGGCTGCACCCGTCTACCCCTAAGAAAGATTTTCCATGGTGCGCGGTCACACACTACATTAGCGATTGGAAGGCTGCTCAGAATGGGACAATCAGCGTTAAGGCCGTGGGTCCGGTGAAGGATGAGAATCTCACCATGATCTCAAAGCATAACGACTTTGTGGAACTGACTCAGGCCAAATATTGCCCTGTTGAGATTCCAGGGATGTTGAAACAGGCAACGACCAAAGCCTTTGGTCCTCGCACTTGTTTGTCTATGTTTCTTTCCATCAAAGCCCAACCAGTTCACGCGGAGAAAGTGGCAGCTGCGGATGTGAACTCGGACTCCGACTCTGACGACTCATTGCTGGAGGACATCTCCCACAAGTTCACCAAAGTGACTGTCAAAGGGAAGACGAAGATCAAGAAGCAACCTCCAAAGTAGGCCGTGGCACCGACTCTGGAGCATGACGGTCCGGTTCTCACCCCTGCGCAGCAGCGCCGTGCGAAGGAAGCGGAGAGGAAGAGAAAAATGGACTTGGAGAACAACGTTCCTAGTCCCTTGTTCATCATGGTGTTACCAGGTGAGATGGAAGGGACCTACTTGTTCATCAGTAGGCTGAAATATGCTGCCTTGGCAACTAATGTTCTGAATGGACTGGTCCCATTCTTTACGCATCATTTGGGGGAGTTGACGACTACTCAAGCTAATAGGGTGATTGCGAAGTGGCTGTCCATGTCTCTGATCCATACGACACGCCGCAAGGAACTTGTGTGGTGCTTGGAGACTTTACGGGCTCGACCATCGGACCAAACCCTACAAGGCATTGATGAAGCCATCGACTTCCTTGATGGCTTTGGGTCTGACCCACTTGATGTCGCCGAAGCTAAGTTGGAATTCGATCTGGAAATGGCAGATGCAAAAGATATCGATGATGGAGCTACAGTAGCAGGCGCCATGGATGAGTTACTTGAGAAGGATAGCCAATTGGAAGCGGCAATCACTGAAATTGAGTTTAAGGTGAATCTTTTGGTTGAGAAGAGCAGCGCTTTGGAAGCTGAACGACTTCGGTCTGAATCCCTGGCCAACAAACTTGCGGCTCTGCGCCTCCTGCAACAGACTATTTCAAGCCAAGAGGCGCAGCCGGCTTTGCCTCCCCAAAATACAGCCACGGTTTCCTTTCCCCAGGACAGGTCGGAGTCAGCAGCGGCCGATTCTCGTGCGAAGGAGCCAACTTTGCCGGCTACTCCAGCGCGAGCAGCCAAGTCAAGTCCGCTCACGGCACTCCTACCGAGCTTGCCACCTAGGGCTACTACGGCCATCGCCAACCAACCTCCGCCTCGAGACACCACCACTGCTGCTTCTCGGAGGGAACTTGTGACTCCGGATCACACAGCAAAGACGCTGTCGACCCCGGACCATAGCAATGCTTTGGACCCAGGCTCTGGCCCAGGGTCCTCTACTCCGTCTTTGGCCAGTTCTCGGGTCTCTGACAACGCCTC